TTTATAAAACAATGATTATTAATTTTATACATTATTTTTTATCATAATATAACTAATATTTGATGGAGTAACAAAAAAAATTAACAAATATTATCATTTTATTTTTATTATAAATTATAATATCGAAGACGTATTAGCTCATTATATTTCATTACGAGAAGCAGCCCATTCCTTTTCTAATTTGGAAGGACAGGGATATGATCAGTATACTTGTACTCAAGGTTGCAAAACAAATAAATGCAAGACGTGTAAAAAGGCAAACAGACTATGCAATTCCAAGTGTCATGTTTCTAAATCTTGAGCAAATAAATAGGTAATAATAAAATTATAATTTATAATAAAAACAAAATGATATTATTTGTTAATTTTTTGTTATTCCATCAAATTATTCGTAATATTATGATTTATGAATAAAATAAATAATCATTGTTTTATAAAAAAAAAAAAAAATCAATACTATAAATAGGTAATAATAAAATTTAATTTATAATAAAAAAATAAACAATATCAGTTAATTAAAAAAAAAAATTCGTGGCTCACAATATTTCACATTGTACGGGTAGGACTACTTTGCCCGGGATTCCACATTATACCCGTAACATTTTATACGTTTTTATTTAACAAGAAATTTTTCAATAATATCATTCTTAGAAATCACTTGAAATATGAAAAGTTACTCGTTAATTATGCTATTCATGCAATATTTTTAGTTAAGCGCTTATGCCACTTAAAATTTTTTACCTATACCCCTTTTTTAGTAAACCCGTTAGTAAGCGAAGTGCTAAGCGTAATAATAGTGTCCGGCGCGATGAAGAGAGAAAATTATAAATTACCCACAATATATTTTAAGATAAAATTTCTAAAAAGTAAATAGCGCATTACACATTTTTAGGTATATATTTTCTGTAGTAAATTGCACCCAGCCTATTTTTTAAATGATTTTATTGTTATGATAGCCATTTAACATTATCCAGATACCACAAGAGGCAGATATCATAATCCTCTAACGATTAATTTTTCCTATTCTTCAAAAATTTTAGTAGAATAATTTAAATACAAAAGGTCAAGTTTTTTTTTTTATATATTATTTTTCTACATTACTATAATGATACGTCTTCAATTTAACATATTGAGCTTTGTCAATTATTTATTCTATTGCTCGAATAAGTAATTCGTTATAACTATTATATTAATAATTTAAATATTATAATTAAACATTAGTTTTTACACCATTAAATATATACAAATCAATAATAATGAATTCAAGGTAATTTGTATACTATAGGTGCAAATTACTATTCTAAAAATAAAAATTGAAAATGCCGGTTAGGTTAGAGATAGCTTAAAACTTAAAAATAATTTATTACAATAAAACCTCACTATCTCGGTTTCTATATGTTGAATTTTTTTTCAGTCCCTATCATTCAATATTAGACTTACGTGTTATTTCGTTATATCGAATTTCCATGTGTCGATTTTTTCTATAAGTCGAAAACTGAAGTCATTATCCAATACTCACGATCTATTACAATTCACTAACTTGAATATATGACAGATTAGATAAAGCAAAAAATTCTCAGGTTATAAAATATAAAATATATGACAGAATTATAATTAAATAGGAAATAATGTATACTTATCCAAATAACGAATACTAATAATATGTATACAATACATAAATACATTCTCTATTATAAATACACATTTTTCCCAGTTATTAAACATTTTTATTTCAAATTTCATTTATATTTTAAATTCCCTCGGTAATTCGAAGTTTCGATATGTGGAATTTTTTCTTCGGTCCCTTGCGACTTCGAGATACTGAGATTTCACTATATCTTGAAAATATCATTACATGGTTATGTAAAAGTTCCTAATTTTCAAGAATTATGTTTTTGAATTAAAATGAAATAACTCAAATTGTTTAAATATGTAATGCCTCAAAACTGAACTTCAATTAATATCAATGAAAAACATAGCACACACGAATTGTGTACCAAGAAAAGTAACATACCTTTTTACAAACTGTGTCTCAGAAGAAATTCATGTTATCTTTTCGCCTAAAGTTAATGTTTTTAAGTGATTTCTTAAGTTATATTACTATATAAAATTTACAATTTAATGTATTTTCAATAATAATAACACTACTAAATATCATAGAAGTCATACACATATATACGTATCATATTTAATTTCATATTATTCGGTATTTATATTTATTAGCCAATATATTTACATAATTTTTAATTGTTATTTCATTATTATTTAATAATTTGACGTAACAAATAATTAATTGGTTTATTTTACTTTCCATAAATAATATTCTTTTTATATTGATTTTTTAGGAGCGAAGAATTTTTTTCTAGACTACTTGTTTTTAATATTATAGTATCGGTTTACATATTTTTTAAAACTTCTAAAAATATTTATATATTTGGGTAAGGATAATCAAAAAACTTGTTAAGTTTCGAATAAAAAGTTTCACGATAACATGGTTCTTTGTAAGCTTTAACTTTTTTCTATCCACAAACTCGAAAGAAATATTGAGTCTTCATTGATTGTGTATATTATTATATACGTCCACTACATAATCATACTATACACAATTTTATCTTGTATAGATTTTTCGCCTACGTACTATATTTACTCGTCGATGGAAAAGTCCATATAATCAATAATATTTTTATTAAATATACAAACCACTATAAAAAAACTAGTTTCATATATATTGATATGAAATATTTAATTTATGTTATAATATTAAATATTTTCACAAAAATTAATTGTTTATTTATAATATTTAAAATCAGTTTGGAAACCATTGAGAACCGTTAAATAATATTGTTAGTGATTCAATTGATAACGCAATTTGTATACACCAATAAAAATTGTGTTTATATACATATATTAATTTTAATATAAACTTTTAATTATTATGAGCAATCTTGTATTATATTTTCAAAAATATCGACAGCAAAATGTACATCTACAAATAATTTAAAAAAAAATGAAAATCGTAAAATACTCTTTTCCTATGAATAGTACAAAAAGAGTTAAAATATTTTGAAAATAATATCATGAACTTTTTCCCAATTAAGTATGTATCCAAATAACACACCATTGTAAAATCATAACATTCATCGCTCCACTCAAAATCTAAATACATTTTAAATATTAGTAAAAAATGTCACGTAATTTATAATGAAAGAACGTGCTTGGATTTTTCAAATGAGAGAGAATTTTAATATTTATTAATACTTTTAAATTTCTAACGAAGTTGTACTTAATATATATTGATTTACAATAATTTATTAAGTATAAGATAAAAGATTGTTATTGTAATATTAAAATGGTTGCATACTTGACGAAATGAACTTATGGTGTAGGTAACACATTTTCTGGATACGGGAAAAAAATTAATAACTAAAATATCAATGGTTATTGCAATAATACTTTATACATTAAAAAATAAAATAACGTTAGCTTATTAATGTATTTATACATTGATAAGCGTTGTATCTACAGTAGAATCATACATATAAATAATTTATATAAGAGTGTAAAAACAAGCAAAGAATAATCAACGTGCATAGATCGAATGTTCAGATTATTCACTTATTTGTTATTTCCATTCTACACGTTGATGTATAAAAATTCGACAATTGTTGACAAAAAAAAATTGATTTTTAATATTATTAATTGACCTGTTACTAGCCTCCTGGTCTAAAAACAGTTTTAAGTATCTTTACTTTAAGTATTATTTAACCCCGACACTGTACGTATTACAAAACGACTTTATTTCGTCGACCTCTTTATTATAAAAAAATAATACAGCTACTTATCGATTTTAGGTTCCGTATTATGTCTCATCGAGGTGTTCATTATTGTCGGAGAGATTATTTCACATGCGCTAAGCATACTCGTGACATGGACTCAAATGAATCTCATAACCACCGGTATAATTTCACTGAACTTATTGTCATTAATACTGCTACGCATGATGTCCCGTCGCCACAATGACCGGATGATGGTGTGTCATTATTACCGCAGTAATAGCTCGGTAGGCCCTTACTGCGAATTACTAAAAGATCTCGACCAAACCGTATATCAGGTAAAATAAAATCCTCAATTTATTTATGTAATCGTTGTTTGTAATACACTCCATATAATATTGCACTTATATAAACCAAATATAATATGGTATTAATTACATTATTTAAATATATTTCTACCTAAACAAAGATAATATTATCATATGAACAATGATGGGTGAAAATTTAGTTAAAATGCAAAAAGAAACACAATTATTTAAATAAGCAAATAAATTTATACATAACTAAATCTCCTTAATCAATGATTTTAATATTTTTCTTTCACTTTTTATCGCCAATATTCTAAAATAAATAACAAAAGATATTTAAACTAATTTATTCACCATTTTAAATATCAATAAAATACGATTAATTATTATAATAAAAAGAATAATATATAGGTACAATATATATATAGAGAGATATTATATCAATTCATGCACATAGAGTAAGTAAATATAATAAGGGTGAGAAAAAAATTAAATTAAAATAGTTACTTGATTAGTTACTATTATTAGTGACACTCGACTGGGATTTAAAAGATTATCAAAATATCACGAGAATTCCTAAGTGAAAACATTATATGAGTCAGCCTCTGTTCATATTTAAATTTCATATTAATTGTACACGACGTGTTCGAGAAATATTTAAAGATGTTTCTTTGTTTTCGAACTTAAAAAAACTCATTTTCGCTGTTTACATACTCGCTTAGTATTATCTATCATAAAACATACACACAGCACACTCTATAATTATATATACCTAGATGGTAGGTATTGGATAAATATAATGTTAAACATATTATGTATACGTACAATATTTATATTTTTTTTAGGACGAATCCGTTTCGAGCGTAAACACGTCTTATCAGTTCGTTCATGATGACAAACGCTATGTACTAAAGCTCCGGTACTGTATTTTCGTCTGTTTGGCTTTATTCGTTTTCCGTGATTTCAGCTGCGTCCACGTGTTCAAGAAAAGTATACGCTGCATCTTTGCGGAACTAAATGTCAAGTCCGTAACGTATGAACAATGGGCGTTGTTAGTGACCACATTACAAGTAACCAAACAAAGCATATTACAACCGACGCATATGTTTCTAAAACCCACCCGTTTGTTTAGTTGATATTCACGACATCTACCGTGTTTATGGTTGAAATTTACGGTAGGAGAAAACTCTTGTTGATCTCGAGTCTCGGTATGCTCTTAACGGCTACAGGTCTAGAGCTGTTTATTTTCAACAGTGACGCAATCACCTCCACAGAAATACGTCATGTATGCATTATGTCCGTGTTACTTTTATACATTTTATTTTTTGCTCAAGGTTTCAGCTCAATACCTTGGACTATGCCATTCAAAATCATTCAGAAAAATGTAAATATTTGTTAAATTACGTTTTAATAGTTTTGTTGTCGCTTACGTTTAATATTTATTATTTTTATTTTGAACACTTATAATATTCTCTACACAATTATTATTTAGTCGTATAGCTTACATTTTATTATTAAACTTTCTATTATCAAATAAATAGTAAATATTATGAAAATATTTTTTAAATACTTTATTTTAATTTTCAGATCAGGAATTATACTTTAGGTTTCATAATCAGCGCTCATTTCTTGTTTTTAATGATCGTCGAATTTTCATATATCAATGAGGAACACATCTATTCTGAAAATTCGACTGTTGCATATTGGTTAATAATTATTTACTTTTTGCAAACTATTTTTGTGTATAACTTTGTTATGAATGCAAAATCTTAATTTAATTTATTAAATACATTATACATTTATATTGAAAAACGTAAATGATTTTCACAAAAATTAAAATTGAAAGTTTATAAAAAGTGAATATTATAATATTATATCGAAATTAAAAATTTAAATTTTGAAAATCTAAAACTCTATTTAATCATAATCTAACATAATTCTATTTTGTTCCATCTAAGTGAAACATAAATAAATTGACAAAAAAAAATAAGCTTGTAATATACTTAATGGTTAATTGTAAGTTAAGATAGATACTTAAAGCCAATATTATTCATTCAAAACGTGTATCATTCAATATTAAATAACGCCAATAATTAGTTATTATTAATATTTCTAATTAATTGCCCATTCAAATAATAAATTAAAATTAATGTTATATTTTATATGTTACATTTTTAAGTAATTGTTACTTACTTAAATGTAATTTTTTTATGAAAGTATTTATTACGTTTAACAAAAAAAATTTTAAATCATGAAAAACAACAGAAATATAATTTATTTCTTAGTATTTTATATAATAATAGAATGCATCTTGTTAATTTTTTTTTTTTTGAATTCCGTTGTCATAAATTGAACCATTTGTTTAGTAATAAAATAGTACTACTTATATATTAATATTTAATAAGGTTATTAGTTATTTTCAATTACTTAAAAACATATTACTTTATTTTTGAATAAAACGTTGACAAATAAAAAAATAATAAAAATAAAATGTTAACATAAAAATAAATGCATGCAAAAAAAAATCAATAACTTCCTCACTTGTCACAATAATTATAATAATAATCTAATTAAAAAAAAAAAAATCAATGACCATAATAAAAGTCTTTTTTTAAACTTAAGTTTTAACGAACGAAAAGTAATCATATATACTAGTACGAGTACGTAAGTATACCATACTATTTTTCTGTGATAATAATAATGTTCTACTTTTATTATATTAATCAAAAAGAAATATTAATTTTTAATTCATATTACTAAAAGAATACGTTATGTAGTGGCGATTGGATAGGATTTTATTATTTTATTGTACTAATGAAGAAGACAACGTGAAAAACATTGAATCATGAACATCAAGTATAATTTCTATGACCATAAACGTATGAGTAACTGTAAATTCAATTGTATTCCATATTTTTTAAAGCATTGTATAATCTATAACGCATCTGCATTTTTCGAATTCAAACACAATATCACACATTCTATATACTACTTGCGCAATATCTCGAGATATTATATCCACGTACAATACAATTAAATGCTTTTTATTAAAAATCATACACAGTGCTATTTAACGTAGTAATATTTTGTAAAACTTAGTCAATAGTCAAAAAAATATAACATTTCACTACACCGCACCTGTTGTTACTTGTTTATTAGACAAAAACAACTTTAAATAAAAAATAACAGCCCAACATTTATTTATTTATTTATTTTCCGTTTATTTAGAATCGAACGAAAATAATTTTTCTATGAACATTTATTTCATATGTGTTTGATATTTCTTCGTTCTGTGCATTTTTATTGTCATGCTGTAAGTCAAAAATGTATTTTTACCCAATATACGCTGTTAAATGTGTCGTAAGTAATATTGGAGTATAGCGAGGTCTGTAATAAGGTATAATAATACAATTTACGAAAAACATAATTTAACAAAATATGCCATAAAATCTAATATCAAACACCAAAACAGTTTTATTGTAATGCAATATTATTAAAATTTAAATAATATACAAATATAAATGATATGGAAGTAGGTTCTCTGTCATAATATAAAGCTTTCACGTTCCAATGAGATCACCCGAGTACATACCTACGCGTTCGCATATTTTATAGGTGTACTGTCAGTGTAAACTGTGAATCGAACTAAACGTAACTACAATGGATACAACATCATCACTCTTACACGAAATCTGAGAACTTTACTCTAATATTCAACGGATATTATTTGTTTATATCAATAAAATAAATTTACCGCACATACAAGTTTATACATAATGAGAATTAAAACATATATGAGATCGACTACGATCCAACAACAAGTCGAATTATCTGGCTATAATAAATATAGAAAAAAAATTATCTAGTACAAATATCGATTATTATACTTTGTTAACTTTTGCATATAAAGTATATATCAGCATATACAGTTATAAAATTATTTTACCTATTTTATCATTTATTTTATATTTGATTTTTAATAACCAAAAAAAGATGTTTTTACTCTATAATTTATTTTCAACAACAATTTTACAGTATTATGAGTCATGACTATTAAAATCTAGTGACATTCGTGATGTAATAGACTTTAGCTATCCACGCAGCTTATTTTAAACTTTGATAGTCTAAAATTTTATCCTCTACAAATATTAAATCCTAGTTATATCAATGCACTAGTGCTAATTGAATAATAATTTTTAATAAATTAATGGTTGTGTAATAATATGTATCATAATTGGCAAATAATAAATAATAATTTTAAAAATTGTGTTTCAAATTTAAAATTAATAGATAGCGTTTAAGTGATCTAATTTAATTACACTTGCTGCATTCAGTACTTAATTTTATAGTTGAATGAAATATTAGTGGTTGACATACGTTTTTTTTTTTTATTATAATTACATTATTGTATTAAACTTTCTCTAAGTTTTTAGAGGCATTATTATATCACAATATCTACGTCTCAAATTTATCACTCTATAATTCTATATATTATATATGTATACAAAATCTATGAGACACGCCCTCATTCCCTTAAAAATTAATTTACCCCGTCATCAGATATAATTAATAAATATTAATATGCTATAAAGAGGTCATGATATTTTCCTCCGTGCACAAGATTTTTTATACAAACTTTGATAATGTCTTAGAATATTAATCTGCGTCTACTTGGGTTTTTAGTCAATACTTTTTTAAAGTGATTGCTAATCATATGTAATATTTATTAGTATATAATACTCCGTATACGTTCAAGTAACGTGTGACAGAGAAATAAGAAGCCCGTAAAAATCGGTATCTAACTATAATATTATAGTAGGTACATCGCAAATAATATCAAAAACTTGTTTTTCATGATTTAAAGACGATTTGATAAACCGTCATTCAATGACAAAAACGTTTTTTCGTATAATTATATACCTACCCACAATACGATATAAAATATAAAATTTTGCAGTGATACTATACTGATGTATGGTTTATGTAACCTTAAAAATATAAAATATTATTCGACTTTTAAATTTTTTTAAATATATCTATACGTTATATTCGCATAATCTTTGATTAAAAATAAATCAAAAGATTCTAAAATATCGTATAAATGTGCAACAATATTATATTTTATGAATAAGAACCTTTGTATTGTATATAACCTACAAAGTAGTATTTTATATTCAGATTTGCAAAAAAAAAAAAAAATAGATGAAAACTTATAGTAGTTATCGTTTATATTCGACATCATGTACAGTACTCCGGATAGTATGTTCTATATATATGTTACGGTCCAAGTGGATAAATGGTCATTGTAAACACTGACCGGACAAAGTTTACAATGTCCGAATTATTCAAGCCATGTAGATAATTATTCACATAAACCAGACAATGTATACAATGACCAGAACTGCAGGTGCCAAGTGAATAAAATACATATATTAATAATTAATGACTTATATAATTTTATTTAATATTTTTTTAAGAGATTTGATTAGCAAATAAAATTGAGAATATTTTATTTATATTAATTTTTATTGAATATTGAAATTATTTATTTTTACAAGTATTACCGCTATGGCATTTAGAGTTGCATAAAATTCCAGCAGCTTTACATTTGCATCTCCTTGTTTCGCATTTTTGAACACAAGTGCAGCGGTCATAGCCTTGGCCTCCTAGATTTGAAAATAGCCTAGCTGCTTCTCTTAGAGACAACTGAATATCGGGGACTTCATCAACACTCACAAACTTCTCCTTGCAAATAGTAAATTGATTTCTACTATAATAATGTTGCAGTTTACCTTTGGTTGTGCCCAATTTATAATTTCCGTCTTCCACTATAAAAAAAAAATTGTAATTATAAATAAACATATTAAACAACAAATAATAATTAAAATGTTATTGTTTATAATACTTGATATAATTACTGCCAAAATTGATCGTAAGTCGCTTCGAGCTCTATCTACGTCTGGTATTTTTATTTTTACTGAATCTCCAATGTTTCCTTCACAAAATCTTCTTTCAGAAAGAGATTTCATTTTATTTGCTTGCTTTTCTAAATTCTGCACAGATTCATTTCTTTTTATCTGAATAGAAAGTTTTCTAGAGCTTAAAGCATCCTCAGAATTGTAATTTTCTTCATTTTCTTCTACAATCACTTCATTGCCTTCCTTGTTTTTTTCTTTACTTTCTTTCTCTTCAATAGTGTTTAAGGCTTTTTCTAAATCTTCTTCTGTTTTTAATTTTTCTACTACATGCATTGGGAGTACACAATTATTTAATCCAATTTTAGCCCTAGAGCCAAACATAGCTTCGTACGGTGAAGATTTAATGCCATGATGAAAAGATCGATTTTTCATGAATTGTACGAATTTTATGCCTTCGCTCCATTTTTTGGTGTTATTGTCTTCCAACCACGTTCCCAACATATTCTCTATGTCTTGGTTGGCACGTTCTACTGAACCTTGACTTTGAGAATGGCGAGGCTTACCATGTACTATTTTTAAATCTTTCCACATACTACATAATTCTTCTACTATCTTGTTTGAAAATTCTCTACCATTATCGCTTTGCAATATAGCTGGAGCACCAAAAGTTGTAAATATATCCAGTAAAACATAAGCAACTTCCTCAGCACGTTTATTAGATAAAGGACGCAAGTTTACAAATTTAGTTAAATGGTCTTGATAGACTAAAATAAACTTATAATTACCATCAGGCTGGGCCTGCATATCAATTAAATCTATTTGACACCTTGAATTCATTTCTTTTGATATAATAGGTTTGACTACTAAGCCTTTTTTAATTGTACTTCCTTTTTTTTGGCATGATTCGCATAAGTTCAAGTATAACATAATTGCCTCCCTTGTTATATTTTTATATTTAATATTTAACTCGTGTTCCATTCTACTACGCCCTCCGTGCCCGATTGATAAATGAGTTTCATGGAGGATATTAAAAAGTTCTTCGTTATGCACGTAATATTTAATTTGGTTACCTTCATTTATTGGTACAACAAGTTTTTCCACATTACACACTCGCATTGTATCATACTTCTTAATCAATTTATAATCATTTGGAATTTTGGTTTTTTTCAATTTTAATTCTTTTAAATGTACTATAAGTTCATCATATTTAAGTTTACTTAAATATGTACTGTTAGGTTTTTTAAGATCTAAAATATTATTTAAACGATTATTAAATGTATTTTCCATTTTAAAAACAACACGCACAAATACTACACAATTATAACACAGCACTAAACGGCACAGGTAAACAGCAGTACGCGTACTGTCGTCTATGATAGATATGGCTATATGCCTACATAGAGTTCCATGATAATAATAATAAATTGCGATATAAATTGTTGTTATTGATGGACGACGAATATCCAAGCGGCGTATGTTGAAAGTGCCCACCGATTCCTAATTATCTACTAATGACACTACCGATAAAAGTTATCGTAACCCGTAGGACGTAGTGCCTGAAAGAAATAACAAAAATATTAAACTCTAAAATAACTCTAATATTCACATTGACCACACCAGTTTTAGCATTGTATACAATGACTGGACATTGTATTACAATGACTTAGTCTATACAGGAATTAAATATGTATTATTTACTTTGCCCAAATGTCTTAGACATTGTATACAATGTCCGGACATTGTATTACAATGACTGATTTATCCACCTGGACCGTAACATATATATATATATTATTATTATATTCACCACAATAGTGCACGTGACATAATTTCTAATTCTATTACAAAAATGTTATAAAATATTTTCCTGCTGATTTTAAAAGATGAATTGGCTAGAATTGGTCAAAATTAAATTGCATTTGATATTTTTCTTGATTAATCTTTTCATGTGTTATAAAATCGGTCCTGTGAGTAAACTGTTTTTCAAAAAATATCCTTAAAAAAAAACTTATGTAATATTTTTTTGCTTCCAATTACCTAATGATAATTATAGTTTAAAATTAAATTAAATATATTTAAATATAAATTATAAATTTAAATCCTACGTGAACATTTTATGTACAGCGTATAAATCTGCATGAATCTATGATATATATATTATATATATATCTGATATATTATATCGGGCGGTGTTTAATACTATATTACTATATTGTAACTAATTTTAAAAAATCAAGCAAAATGTCAGTAAATTAAATTAATAACTAAAATATATATCCCATAACCTCTATTATAGTATTTAAATGTTATTTAACATATTTTAATAACTATTAAATCTCTACATAGCTTATTATTTAATTTATATAAAATAATATTTGTTACACATTTTTTTATAAACGAAAATATACTTTCCAACTTAAAACAATAGAACTGTTTTTGTCGTGTATAAATATAGGTAAATACCACAAATATTTAGTAAATATTATAATCCATAGATTGAATCACGTTTAAAGATTTTTGTGATAGAGGTTTTTTATAAATATTATATTTTTCACTAATTAGATCCCAAATAAAATATGCATTTCTTATTTGGTACACAAATTCAATAATTCAATCACATAATTTAATACAAGCTATAGTTTAAAATAATTTTCTATATTTTCTCTTACTAATACCACATTTATAGAATTCCCCATTCAAAATATACAGAGGTAGAAGAATTTTTCAATATTCCTACTATACAAAAAATACTTACTAAGAATAAATTAAAATTTTTATTTAAATTATTAAGTTACTCTATTAACTGCTCTCAATTGTTAAAATGTATTAATTTTAAAATAAACACTAAAAACTCAAAACTAACATCTTATCAAATTATAAATTATAACTTTTAATATACACGGAAATATTACGAGCTAAACTCGCTATATAATGTTTTAATAATGATAAGAAACAATGATATTAAATAAGTAGATTTATTTTATAACTTGTCATACAAGTTTTCACAAAAATTTAAGTTTTAAAATAAAAAACATTAACACGAAAAATCAATTTTTATCTAAATATCATATTAATATTTTATATTTTTGTTATTGTATAATTTATAATCGTTGTATATTCATGACCGTTATATTAAGTATTTATTTATCAATATATATTATTGTATATTGTAATTAAATTTTAATTGAGTCACGATTGTACTTACTGTCACATTAAAATGAAAATGGAATTTATTTCCATTAATTAAGTTATTATCAATACATTATGGCTTGACATAAGTAGGTAGCTAAAATATGATGTAGTCCACGATGCAGGTAAGAAGTGACACGAAAATATATTGAAGTGATAATGATGGATATATTACGGGTTTATGGTAGTTTTAAAACTACGAAATTTCAAAAACAATATCAGAAGAGGAAAAATATTTGAAAAAAAAAATGAATTATAAAACAAAATTTTTATGTTCAGTGTGGTTAGGGTAGTTGAAACCAGAGCAATAGCTAAGTATTTTTAAACTATATTTATATGCTATACGTCTACAACCATTACTCAAAAGATCCATTTACTTTGCAGTGAAAACCCTACCACCCATTGAATATAGATGGAATAAGTAATAACCTATACTATATACTTTTAATAGTTGAAATTGTATTTTTACGTATGGTATTCGATGCACAACGCACTTAATAATCATCAGTTCAATATTTTCTATAACTTTTCTAGAATATACTTGATTATCTGTAAACTATGCTCGAGTTTTATAATATTATATTCACATTTAGTGAATAGCGAATCTAATTTTACTTAAAGCAATTCTAATTCTACTATCACTAAAAATATCAACATTTAAAAATATTAGTCAAAAATTACATAGAAAAACTAGATTTCTACTATTATTGTTTTAAAATTATTAATATTATGTATAGAATTACTATGAGGTAATTTTATGTTAGGTAATATGACAAATTATGTTATTGCAGATTTACGTCCGTCGCTTAGAAAAATCTATAAAAATAAATAACTAACTATATTTATTCACAATATAATTTTAGATGTTTTTTTTTTTATTTTCCACATACTCTTTAGTACGTGTAGGACATAACAGTTCCCGTTACAAAATTTTAAGCTCACGTATTTGGACATGACTCAGCAGTTTTACAACGAAATAGTCTCATCTTTTTTAAAACATTGATATCTTTTCAGAAAACCATTATTTCTAATGGAATACCTTTTTTTCAGTAAACTTTAACAAATATTCCAAGTATATTATTTGCACAATACGAATCACAAGAATTACTCCAACTATGTTTCTGCGAAAATGTAATTGGACAATCACAAAGTACGCCTCTCTATATGAATAAATATGGTCAATGGTTTACATCACCTACAAACAATTTTCTTCTAATATCCGAGTAAATGTGACGATGGTAGAGAATATTTTTCCAGCCTCGTATTAAAAATAATACATTACATGTCCAAGAACTTGCTTCCCCTACCCTCTTTTGTTATTATCAGTAAAGTCATCGAAATAGCATAAACATTTTACAAACCATTTTTAAATCGTTTCCCTGAAGTCATGTATACATAAAATAAGATCTAGGACCAGATTCACAGCCCTCCACAACATTTTGAAACCTAATTTTCAAATATTTGCAATTATTGGCAATTAAATTTAAAAATATTGTCGCTATTTTGGAACCAAATAGTCCTATGGACGTAACATGTATATGCAAGATGCCATGATTGCCTGACCCGCATAACGGATGGTATTGAAAAAATAACCATTTGACAAAACGATCGTCTAATTTTTATAGTAAATCGTTGAAATAATATCTATTTTACTTGTAGACCAGTGATGTTAAAATTTTAAAGTTTTAGAAGTTTAACACGAAATAACCTTGTGATTGTGCCAGAGTTTCGTTATAGTCTTACAAATAAGTGATGAGAGTAGCTGACGTGATAATGTATACATAATATATTAATATATATATAATATGTAACTGAATAATTATATTTCGCAAGATGGAGTATAATAATATATATATATTACAATATAATATGTCACACATTTTCAGAATATATATATGTAAGTAAATAGGTACTAATGGCAAAGAAGACGATGGAAAACGATCACTATGAAACTTGAATACTAAGAAAATAATTCATACAGGAAATTATATACGGGCCAAAGTCTCTATAATAATTTGTAACAGCGTTATTACAATAATATTATTACTCTCCTCACATTTCATCAAATACGTCACAAAGGCTCCAAATCAAAAAAAATAACCTAGGAGCGTATATAACATCAAAAAATATTTTCTGTATTCTGTACATTCAAATAGAATAAATTCTAGTTAACTTATAATAAAAAAAAATTAATATTATTATTGCAACATTTATGCGTTACATAAACAATGAGCAAATCGAGTGATGTATCATATTTCAATTTACTTGTGGCTCGCCAAAAACGTATAGATGCGTGTAATTATGCACCTATTTAATCTGTTATAATATTATTCACCTTAGTTCATAACGTAACAAGTACTGCAAACAAATACTTAAGAGGACGTCGCACCTGCTATGTTGTCTCCGTCTTATACACATACAACGTAGTAAATTTTCGTTCACCAATTTTAACAGTGTTTTTTTAGTTTTGATATTAGAATGAATTGACCTATTATTAAACTTTTAGGTAAGAACATTATAATGTGTTCTCTTGTTGATTTTTTAAGATATTTTAATTTTTAAGTGAGCTATGAGTATGAAAAATATAAATATTTGAAAATGCTCATAAACTCACTATTATAATATCATAAAAAACTAAAGAGGGAACACAAATAATGTTCTTACCTAAAAGTTTGATAATAGGTCAATTCACTCTAATATCAAAACTAAAAACACACTATTGAAACTGGTGAACGAAAATTTACTACGTCGTACGTGTATAAGATGGATACAACATAGCAGGTACGACGTTCTCTTAATAC